GTGTCATTCTTGCTTCCAAAACGAAAAGAACTATTTAAGAGGATTAACTTGAAGGAGGTCTGTAGCAACCCTAGTAAGACTATACTGTCTGCCTTCCCTACAACCTGTTCTGAGGATGCCTTTTGATCATTAGCTCTTCTATTTACCTTCACTCCGTCTCTCAATAATTCCAGTTCAAAATGATTTCAAAACTCTTCATGGACTTTCTGACATATTTGATTATTCTTTTAATGGCTGTTTTGATTTTAGATTCACAGATAGGCCCTTGTTAATTTGTATGTGAATTCATTTCATCCAGAATACTGTCCAGCATACTGCTCGGACCCAGTATCATCCTGCGGACACCAGCTGTGCTCCAGACCAACATCTGACTATTTGCTCTAAGAAGAGGAGGCCCCACCCTAATCCCACAGTGTCCAGTTTCATCTTCGAAGTCACACTGAGTGGCTGCCACTCTCCCTCTGGTCTCCTCTTCTACCTCCTATTCCAGAAAAATCATTCATCTCTTCCTTTTTTATATAATAAACAAAACTCTGGAAATGTAGGGATGTAACTTTGGATCCAGTTGTTGCTCAGGCCAGAATACTTGCTGCATCTTCTTCCACCTCCATCCTCTCCCACCCCACAGATGCTGATACCTGCCCATCCTCTCCCACCCCACAGATGCTGATACCTGCTGCATCCTCTCCCACCCCCACAGATGCTGATACCTGCCACATCCTCTCCTACCCCCACAGATGCTGATACCTGCCCATCCTCTCCCACCCCACAGATACTGATACCTGCCCATCCTCTCCCATCCCCACAGATACTGATACTGGAAGACATTGTCTGTGAGTCTCAAGCAAACAGAGTTCCAGGTGGCAGGATTTCCCACCTGGGAAAGTGATTTCACATCAAAGAGGGTATTGGTGACCATACATCCTGCTCCCTGCCCCCTTCCTACCTCCTGCCTGGGAATCAGAGAGCCTGTCTAGAGGCTTGTGCTGTAAAACCCTCATCCTCAGCCACTACAAAGAGACCTCCCCGATCTGTTACATGGGCCCCGATCTCTGATCTCTTCAGAGTCCCTGCCATGCTCTCTGTCCCTAGTGCTGGGGCCTGAACTCTCTTCAGCCCTCTCCACCATGCTGTTGTCTGTCTGTCCATCCCTGGCCTTAATAACTCTTAATAAACTCTTTAATGCCCCCTTTCCCCCCTAAAGACCCCCATCATCAACAACAAACCAACCCAAACAAAATAATCCATTAACTAATTTTTGTGCTTCTATATATACCTCAGGACATGTCAGTATATTCCAGCTTCCTCCTCCCCCCTCCTCCCTTTAAGACACAGTCTTGTGTATCTTAGGTTAGATTCAAACTTACTATACAGCCAAAGAGGATTACCTTAATAAACCAGAACTCCTGATCCTTCTGCTCCACCCCACCCTCAAGTTCTGGGATTATGGTGTACACCACCATGCTCAGTTGGGCCCACTCTTTCTTACCTTCTGCTTGTAGTCTGCTGCAGGGATTTGTCATAATTAATTTCCCATGGGTTTACAATTTTACTAGCCACTTATATTTCCATTTTTTTTGCACCATTTCCACGATTATATCTGACACCACTGTCTCACGAGCAAGTATTTAGGGTTATTGTGGCAGCGACACAGTTTGCTGAATCAAAACAACATCACCATTTTAAACAGAAGAACACAACCACAGCCTCTTCCGCCATCAAATGTTTTTTCCTTCTAGTAATATTTTTCCCTACATAATGTTATCATTGAACTCTTGATAATATGATGAGTTAAAGAAAAAATGGGGCTATAGCTCAGTGACAGAGCACTCACCTAGCAAGCCTGACATCATAGGTTCAATCCCTAATACTGCCAAAAAAATTTTTACTTTTAAAGAAAGAAATGAGAGATTTCAATGCACGTTTCCTCGGTGGTATTATAACTGCTTAAAATAGCTTTGGATTTCCTTTACTTCCTATACTCTCAGAGCCGATAGGAAGTGTGATTGTGAGTTGCAGGTGAGTGAACTGGCTGCAGGAGGTGGTTAGCTTTCGAATTGTTCCCAGGTTCTAATTTTATCAGATTGCATGGTTTGTGTTGGGGGGATTTGATGAGCTTTGTTTCATGAGGTAATTTTTGGCCTGATTTTGTAACTGTTCCACGCATGCCTCAAATAATTGATATTATTTGTTTTTATTATATGCAAACATCTGCATAAGCCACAGTCAATTGTTTTATTATAAATTTATTTTGAAACAGGTATTCACTAGAATGCAAAATGGTTTTGAACTCATGATCCTCTTGAAACCTCCTAAGTGCTAGCAAATAAGAGAACTGCACTACCACCACTTGTTTCATTAACATTTTCTATACACATATTCAGAATATACATTTTTTTTTCAGTCTTGGGGATTGAACCCAAGGCCTTACACATGGATGCCAGTTGTGGCCTTTAATGCCTTAATGTTCTGGGCAGGCAGAGGCAGGTGAATCTCTGTTAGTTGGAGGCCAGCCTGTTCTACATAGTGAGTTCCAGAACAGCCAGGGATACATGGAGAGACCCTGTCTCAACACACACACACACACACACACACACACACACACCTACAACCACCACCACCACCACCACCACCAAAACCCCCTTGGGTCTCTATTTTTTTGTGACTGTCGATAGACATAAGGCTGTGCTCCACCAGTGTTCAGGACCAGTTTCCCCAGCAGTGTTATCACCTTTCCCTGCTTCATCCCCAGAACGATCTGTTTAATTTATAAACAGTCCTCTTTAGATATCGTTTCCAATGACATCACAATATGGCTATTCTCGGGTGATTTACTGGCTAAACAAATACCCCAGTTTCTTCCACGTAAAGGCCACCAACAAGACTGTGGGAAGACTTGGCATAAAGTACTGTATGACTCTTAGTGACTGGCCATTAAAGGTAGTGTTCAGAATGTATTCTTTTTTTTTTAAGGTCAGGAAAAAAAAAAAATGAAACACCCAAACCCCAACACCATTATTCATAAAGGAATTTAAGATATTTTTTGCTTTCTTATTTTATTTAAAACATTCTCACCTCCTTTTCCATCTTTTGAACACATCAAAGGGAGTTTATTTTCATTTGTAGGTCATTAAATTCCCACTCCAGGATTTGAGACTTTAAACGACTTAACTTAGGCCTACCACATGACGTTTTCGGGGCTGTCATCCGGCTAAATTGATCTACTGACCTAGGTCAGAGTGGGCGCGGGAATACAGATCTCTACAAAGTAGGTAAAGGCAAATTTACATTTACAAAAGATTAAAAAAAAATCCTACTCCAACTGGATGTGACCACACATGCCTTTACTTTTCAGTGCCCGCAGGCAGAGGTAGGCAGATGTGTGAGTTCCAGGCCAGCTTAGGAAAAGTAGTTCAAAGAGAAGAATACACAACTTTAATTTTCACAGGTGTGTGTTGCACAGGTAAATTAATGATTCACGTAAAATAGTCTGCACAGGAGATGTGAGGAGAATGACCTGCCTGCTTTTCTACCAAGCAACACCGTCTCCCCTGTGAGCCTCAAAGTTTCTGGTTTCCTACGAGACAGCTTCACTTTATTTATTTTTGCTTTTTGACACAGTGTTTCTTGGTATAGCCTTGGCTGACCTGGAACCCACTCTGTAGACCAGGCTGGCTTGAACTCACAGAGCTCCACCTGCCTCTGCCTCCCTAGTGCTGGGAAGGCAGGCACCACCACCCAACTACAACTTCATTTTAAAATGAACAGAGTTGAGCTGGGCGGTGGTGGCATACGCCTTTAATCCCAGCCCTTAGGTGGCAGAGGTGGGCGGATCTCTGTGAGTTCAAGGCCAGCCTGGTCTACAGAGTGAGTTCCAGGACAGGCTCCAAAGCTACACAGAGAAACTCCGTCTTGAAACCCACACCGCCCCCCACTCCCCAAAAGAAATGAACAGAGATGGGCCGGCAAGAGGGCTCATCAGGTAAAGGTGCTTGCCACAAATCCTGATGACCCGTGTTTGATCCCTAAGACCCACTGGTGGAAGTAAGGAACCAACTACCAAGTTGTCCTGTGACCTCCACATGTGTTTGGTAGCCTGTGTGCACATATAGACATGTACGTATGTACAGTGAATGAATAAAAATATAACAAAGCAATTAAAGGTCAGAGCTGCTTCTTCAAGGAACTATTTCACCGTTTTATCTCTAAAGGGATATAGAACATAACTCTGTATATTTTAATTTTGACAAGTACCTTCTTGATTGCTAGTGACCTTAGAAAAAGTCAGTGAGGTCTGAGAACCAGGTAATGTATTGCAAATTAAAGACTGATTTACTTTCATCCCAAGAAGAGTCAAGGAATGGGCATAAGGGCTTTAAATTCCTTCCAAGCCTCTGTTTATTGTTGCCTCGCGTGGAGGTCCACGATTAATCTATGGATTCTATCTCCAGCTCTATCAGTCACGTGGGTAGATAGCGGGTTCTGAGGTAAATGCTGAGAGGAAGCCTCTGTGGGTAAAGGCCCTTTCAGTCAAGCCCGTTGACATGACTTCAGTCATTCCTCATAACGGAAGGAGAGAATGAAACTTGTATAAGTCACACTGAGATGTCCACACGTGTGCCATGCTACCTTTGTATGTACACACACACACACACACACACACACACACACACACACACACACACACACAAAGTACACTTTTTAAAGGAGAAAGCACGGCAGGTGTATGGTGCGGGCCCGTCATCCTAGCACTCCGGAGGCAGAAAAGGAGTACTTGTAAATGTGAGGCCAACAAGTTCCAGACCAGCCAAGGTTACATATCGAAGGAAGAAAGGAGGAGAGGGGGGGAAAAAAAACAATCTAACAAAATCTACCATTCTATGTCCTCCTTACAAGCATTATGAATATACATTTTTTAAAAAATGGCACCTCAGGCACAAATGCAAGGAAAAAGTTTCCAGTCTTTTCAGAACAGACCCTCAGCAAAATAAAGAACTTACTTCACACCCAGGTTGGATTTCCCAGGAGCAGGACTCCTCAGGCGGGAGCATCCCCCTTTGGAAAGCGTGGTCACTCAGGCATGATTGACAGAGAGCGGGCTCAAAGTCTGGTTCCCCGGGAGGGAGGTGCACCCCAGAAGGGCCAGTGTACTTCAGGCTGGGGCTCTGATGTTTGTCCACACTGACCATGGGGCTCTTGATCCATCTTCGTACCTGAGGAGTGCGGAAGAGAAGAGAAGAGAGAGACACATTTGCTACAGTTCGCACGTACAGCATGCTGGTGGGAAACTTGGTGAGATAGAGATTTATAAAAGAGAAATTTCGTCTTATGGCTTCTCAATTCTCCAGCCCTCACATGTTCTAACTGGTCAATGCTGGACAGCAATTTTCCAGCAGTGGGAAGTTTGGGGCTGTTCATGTCATCTCCCCAAGTATCTCCTCAATGATATTATTAAGATAATGATATTTCCTCTCACGTTGTAAAGTTTACAGTTTCATCGTACCCTATTATTATTATTATTATGTGCAGCCCTGGGAATTGAACACAGGGCCTTGTGCAGGCTACGAAATCACTATACCACCTATAGCACCTCAGTCTGACAATGTTTTTATTTTTATTTAATTAGCATTGTGAAGGGGAAGTGTTTATTTTGGCTTACAGGGTAAGCAGAAGCAGTCCATCATGGTGGGGAAGGCATCGTGACCAGTGGCTTCATAGTGTGTGTGCATTTAGCACTCTTTACCTCCCTAGGAATTGATGGAACGGGAAGCAGAGAACGGACAGGAGGTGGGGCTGGATCATAGAACCCCAAGGCCTGGCACTGGAAAGATGACTCCGAAGTGTAGGAGCTTGTACTGCTCTTGCAAACGCCCTGAGCTCAATTCCCAGCTCCCACATTGAGCATCTCACAACCGCCTGTACCTCCAGATCCAGGGGGTCCTCGGGCCTCCTCCAGCACCTTGCTAACATACACATGCTCTCCACTCCTCACAAACACATACTAAAAAATAAAAAGAAATCTTTAAGACCTTAAAATTACTGGGCACAGCGGTGTACACCTTTAATTGCAGCACTTGGAAAAGACAAGAAGGAAGTATGTATTTCACTACTATAAAAAGGAGGGAAACAGAGTTGTAGCCAGGGTTGGTGGTAAACCCTATGATCCTTGCTACTTGAGAAACTGAGGCAGGAAGATCAAAAGTTCAAAGCCAGCCTGGGGCTACAGAGTATGTTCCAAGCCAGAGTGGGCAGATTGGCGAAACCTTGCTTCCAAGTGAACATTTCAGCTGGGTGTACAGTCCCGACTTGGGAGGCTGAGGCAAGGGGAATGCTATGTTTAAGACTGGCCTGAGCTACAAAGTAAAATTCTGTCTCAAAAGCTGGGGTGGTGGTGGTGGTGGTGGTGATGATGAAACCCAGCATGAGTTCATGTGTGTCATTCTAACACTCGGGAAGATGTAGACAAGAGGACAAGTTCAAGGCTTGCCTCCGCTTTACAGGCAGTTCAAGGCCAGCCTGGGCTACTTGAGAGCCCACCTCAAGTTTCCCCGTGGAAAGTCTGTGACAGTGAAATGCTCTCAGTAGAATGTTTAGACTATAATAAACACAGTCGTGGTCACTGTTAGAATCATGAGTGTTTTCTTCTTTGCCTCTTACAGCATAGAGCCCTATACATTTTTCCCGCCTTATAAATGTCAGATGGCGTCATCATGGCTGCTCTGGGCTGTACTTTCATTTCTTAGGGAATAATTTTTATTTACTGTTTACAAAGATCTTAAGCAATTAAAGCCGTATCTCTTTACTTGGTTACAGATGTGTTTTTAAAATATCTTTATTTGGCTTCTTTATGTGTCTGTTCTCTTCTCCACCCTCACCCCCCTCTTCCTTTTCCCTGCTCCTCTCTCTGAGAGAGACCTTACTATACAACCCAAGCTGGCCTCAAACCTGTGACACTCCCGCTTCAGCTGTCCAAGCACTGGGATGGTAGCGTATCTGACATCACCACATCTGGCTAAAAGCAGTCGTATCTCTCCCCTCTTTCTCCCGTTATCCCTGTTTCTCTCATCCCTACTTTTCTTCCCCCTCCCTCCCCTCTCCCTTACCCCTCTCATTCCTCTCCCCAAACACTCACCTTCTCACTCTGCTCCTTGTGCTGGGGGACAGACCACGACCTCTCATACACTAGTACTCCATCACTGAGCTACATCCCCAGCCCCTCTAATTCTTTCTCAGTATCTGTTTAAAATAGCCTTTTGGGAGCCTTAGCGGGACGTGCGGACCTATCATCTCAGTACTTAGGAGGTGGAGGCCGGAGGACCGGGAGTTTAATAAGGTCAACCTTGGCTACATAAAATCATGTCTCAAAAGTATTAAAAAAAAATTAAAACAAATAAATACCTTTTTGAGTTTACTATCCTAATGTTAAAAGAATGTTTTTGTTTTTTTTATGTCAGTATTTCTCGTACTGCTGGGCACTGTAAGCATATAAGTAGGTATACTCAAAAGCATTCATTATAGGTTGGGAAGGCGGTTCAGTGGGAAAAGTGCCTCCTTCGTAGGCACAAAGACTTTGAATGCCCAGATCCCATGCAAACGTGGATGGGTAGTATCTATCTGCCATCCCAGGGGTCCTAGTGGGATAAGACGTCAAAACAGGACAATCCCCAGAAGCTGGCCTGTCAGAAGCAACAGCGGACAACCAAAAGAGCCCGTGTCTCAAGCAAGGTGGAAGGAGGGGACCTTATGCCTGAAGATGTCCTCTACCAGGGGTGGGCGCTTGGCCACACACACAGTGTCCGCATTCACTCACACAGGCGGAGTCACACACATCATGCATACACACAGAGAAAGCCAACGTGTTTCATTAAGGGTTACGGGTGCTGCTAAGTGGCAGAGCGCTTGCCTACCTTGTGTGTGGTTTAGTCCCCAGAATCACAAAAGGAAAATGTCTGGTTCATGAATGGCAGCCTAAATTAATCTACGATTCCCAGACTAGAATAGAGTCTCTCTTCCTGATGCTAGTCTCAGATTTGGTTTTTGCATTTGGAGTTGGAGGCAGCGTTAGAGATCGGATTGACTCTGTGGCCCCTTGAATGCTGGGCGAATGCCTTTACCATTTAGCTCCATTCCCATCCCTCCAATGTGTTTCTGATCAACCTAGAAAGAACTACGTTTTCTTTCAGACGGAAAATATTCTTTTATTATTCCTATTCAGAGAGTTTGGAGCTTGACGCTGGTAATAGTTGCTGCTTCATTTCCAAACTTGAATTTAAAATTAATCTTTTTAGTCTGGCTTTCTTTCCATCTCTTCTGCCAAGTCGGTTTAACTTTGGAGTGACTAGGGACAGGATGCTGCGAGCAGATCCATCTTCCATTTTATTCACGAGTTGGAGGGCCTGACTAAGAGTGTTCTTGGTGTCCGAAAATGTAAATCTCCCCCCATGCCTCTGTGGACACTGAATTATAACTTGAGGCATACATTTATTTGTTTATTAGGAGGACACGCTATTTCTAATATAAAATAAGTGAAGTCTGATATAGAAGGCGGAGCGTGAAGTAAGGAAGTGTGAGTGGGCTCTTTGCGGACTGAAGGCCTCTTTCTTTTATTCTTTTCTTTTTGTTTTTTTTGAGACAGGGCTTCTCTGTGCCTATCCTGGATCTCACTCTGTAGCCCAGGCTGGCCTCGAACTCACAGAGATCCGCCTGGCTCTGCCTCCCAAGTGCTGGGATTAAAGGCGTGCACCACCACCGCCCGGCCTTAAAGCACTGGGCAGTAAGAAGGGAACTGTGGCTAAAAGACTTCCCGAGAATAGGCACATCCCCAGGCCTGCATTTCAGGGAGGAAATCCAGGCAGCAAACACACACTTGAGATAAAAAGCCAGTCACGGAGCTGTCCTGAAGTCTTCGTGGAGCAACGGCTTCTGTGGATTTATTGGCGAAGTGCATGTCGCAGTGTTGGCCCTGCGCTTCTGGGCTTTGTTTCTTTGAAACCTTTGCGCATCTTTCTCTGGGGCTTGGAGAAACCTCTGTTTTGCACATGTGACCAGAGGAGAAGTGTCTGGTGTTTTAAATCACTCTGCTGAGGGGGCACAGCGAGGATGCAGTGTGGGAGTTACTTTTCAAAAAGGCCCCAGGACGCCAAGACGCTCTTGACAAATTAACCCATTCTGACCGCGAATGAGAGTATGGTCAACTCTCTGCAGAGAATGTAGCTAGGGAACGAAGCAATCCATTTCTTCAGAAGTATCAGAGAAAAAATATCACGAAAGTGGATATGGCAGGACGTTTTCTAACAGGACTGGGGATGACCGCAGGCTTTGTCTGGCTTTAGCCTCTACCCTGGCTTCAGTGTGTCCCTTCCCTGTGACTTGCTGACAACTTCCACGAGCTTTGTAGCTTCACAAGTGGCTTTTATGGGGCCTTAATTAAGGACAGGGTTTATGGTGTTTACTTGAGCCTCGGAAATCCCTGGAGAGTGGCTGGGGTGTGAGATGTGAGTTTACAAGCAAAGGCTCCCTCTCCAGGCCGGGCAAGGTGCCCTCGAAAACTGCTGAGCAGAGAGCATCATCCCTCAGGCCCTGAGGGGATTCAAGCGACAGCCCGCCCCTGGTGCTCCTTCAGGTCCGGAGCTGAATTGCTAGGGAGGAGCAGGGGCTGTGAGTAGCTTCAGGAACCCTCAGAGACTAGCCACCGTGGCCCTGAGCTGCAGGCAGCTGCCTGTGCAAGAGACATGAATGCCCGGAAGCAGAAGCAGCCCTGGCTGTGCGGCCACCTGGGCCTAGTCTTCTTATTCAGGACTCCTCCACCGTTGTGGAGAGCATTGTAAACAAACATAGACTGGGGGTGTGGAGGGGGAGACATCCTCCTCATCTCAAACAAAGCAAGAGTTCCCTCACTGGGGGCTTAGAGGAGGCTATTTCCAAAGTGAACCAGACGTTGGAAGCAGCTCTCTCTGGACCTGGAGTTAGAGTAAGACCGTGCTGCTAGATAGTCTGGGCTGCCTAGGTAAAACACTAAACGGAATTCTTGGCTAAATCTGGTCTGTCTTGGTTTTATTAATTTATCTGAAAAAAAAAATTCTATCCAGAAGCCATAATCCCCTGGACTAGAGGCTTTGCCAGGTGTGATTAATGAGATTGGCCAGCTTTTAGGGATTTTCCACTTGTGGCTCCTTTTCCTATTATGTAATAGTAAACAGATATTACTCTTCAT